GTCGCGTGACTGCGGCGGGGTCACTGACCTCAGTCGCGTGACTGCGGCGGGGTCACTGACCTCGGCCGCGCGACCTTGGCGGGGTTATTGATCTCGGCCGTGCGATCTTGGCGGGGTCACGTGATTACGGTATATATATGTATATATGTGTGTGTGTATTATATAAATATAGAATATTATATATATATAATATATATAATATTTTCTTTTTTACTCTTTTACCTGTCACGACTTTAGTCACGTGTTGTTTTTCCATTCTCCCTTTTTTCTTTTATTTTTTGAGTTCGATTTTCATGCGTTATTTCTGACATCTCTTATATGTACATCATGTGTATTATATTGTTGGTAAGACGTATATATTAGCTGTCACTGCGGTGACAGATTAAGTTCACTGACACTACGCGTTAAAATAAAAGTAAGAATAGCGTGCGTGTAGCGCGCGCCTGTGTTGTGCTAGTTAAAAAAAAAACAAATGCAACTACATTCATCAAGTTTAATTCATCTTTTCGGTTTAAGGATTAAGGTAATATTCAATAATGTGCAGTCGTGGAATCAGCGATTCGCCTCTAGACATTAATGCAAAATAAATACACAGCCGCGTGGTTAAAACTCTTTTGCGCCAAAGCTCCGTATCTCGTACGGCAAATACGCATCGCACATTATTTTAATTACCTTTCGCTTTAAGTCTGTGTGGGAAGTAGATGATTTTTAGTGTCTGTACGAAATGAAAAGAGAGAGAGAGATGTTTTTAGAGATCTTACCGTTTCGGTAATATAATATTTAATAAATGAAATGAATGTTTCATGAGATCATTGCGTTGATTGTTTTTTCTTTTTTTTTTTTTTTTTCAAGTGATTGCTTCAGCGTGTTCGTGACAACTCTGGTGCAAGAACACACGAATGCAAGTGCACTTTTGCAAACTCAAATCTTCAAAACTGCTCTATCATTTTTCTATCTCTTGTGTTTAGAAAGAGAAAGAGAGAGAACGGGAAGGATTTTGTTGTTTTTTTTAATTCTCTTTGCAAATCGAAAATCATTTTTCCAATTTAGTTTTTTGTCGAACATTCGCGAAGAGACGATATGTCGAAAAAAAGCGCAACAATCCTGAGAATTTCCCGTTTCCTCTCTTCGCGTGTTTCATCTACAATTTTATTTCTTCACAAGAGTGTGTTTTCTATATGCGATTAGCTATTTACCGCGATGAGGAATGATCTCTATGAACCAATCGTCGTGCAAACAACGATGTTTTACTATAGCAAGCAACTATAGTCGCGAAGTTTCTCAACTATATTCGCATAAGAGACTCTGTTCTAAGAACGAACTTGTACAGATTACGCTAAGTCGAATGAGTATTACGACGCTATTCTTAAGAGGGCGACCAACGCTTTTTTATTACCGCGGCAATTCAATTATTTATACGTACGTTTTTCTTAGAAAAACACATAAAAGTGTTATCGTTGGAAAATCCATAATTTGCCCTTTTAAAAAATCGTGTCGCAAAGAAAAACTTTTTACAATCGAAGAGCGCCTCGAAGTGATAATCATCTTTGAGAACAAAACTACTTCATAAATCGACTGCGAGGACAAATTCGTTAAGAAAAAAACAAACTCAAAACAGTACTTGTATTTTTCTCTCTCTGATTCTGGACACATCGCTGTGCTGATGACGCGCCGCGATGTACAAATTGCGGCGCGCAATTGCGAGATTAACGCGACCGCGTGTGGTCTCAAAAACCACATTTTCTGGATTTCAATTAAAATAATTAAAGCCAACGTGTATTGTTCGATGATTCAGCGATGCGTCGTATGCGGGCGGGAGAGATAACGCGCGTCTCGATTTGATTAAACGGCACAACACTACCCTCTTTGGCAGGCGACAGTACATGCGTTAAAAGTTTGAAAGGATTTTGCATCAAGGACCGTAAAGAGAAAGAGAGAGAGAAAGAGATAAAGAGAGAGAGCTCTTCTATAAAATAGAATGTAGGTAAATAATCGCCCTTGCATATATATAGGATACAGTCGTGTATGTAACGTATGTACGTACAATACATACGCGAGCCCTTTGAAAATCGATGCACTTCAGGCCTGGTCTTTCAAACAAAATCCCAGTAGATGGAGTATGATGGATGCTCGTTACGATCTAATCAACTTACGCGACCACACGCGAGCATATTGCCGATAAGTGCGTTCAAAAAAAAACTTGCAATCTCTCAGTCTCCGATATTATAAGTCCATAAAAAATAACGACACGCAAATTGCTTGCGTGTTTTCACGGTATATGCGCCGCGACGACTAATTTGCAAAAAAACAAAAAAAAAACAACTAATCAAAGCACAAAATTTTATAGAACCGCAACATGTGATTTTTACGTAAACAATCTCACTGTTACGTAATATATCTAATTGTAACGTTGACAATTAAATATATTAATTAAATATATTAAATATATTAAATATATAAATTGGATACGTTTTAGATTGGAATTTACTCTTCGCAAATATTGCACAATATTTTGTAACAAAACCACATGTGGCGTGCTAAGATAAAGGGGTTACAACGAGTGCGAGCTCTCCAATGTAATCCTACGTACCGCGAGAGCGGCGTAATATGGGGATTAAATTCACACGGATCGGGCAAAAGCTCTGGGAGGTTCATCGATTTTCGCGTGACCGTTATCGGAAGTAAGTACATACGAGCAATTCGAAAACAGAAGATACAGAAGATACTCGCTTGCTGCTCTATTTGAGAACGGGACTTTAATAAACAAGTTGCTTGCTTAGTAAGTGAATGAAAAAAACCCGTACGGCTCACTCTGTGTTGTGAGTGGTGAGAGTGTTTCGCACCTTGCGAGGCGTTCGGCGAGTGGGCCCTCAAGGACGCCATCGAGGGCTGCCTCGACGGCACGCGTACGCTCGCCCTCGAGCCGCGTCTCTCCTGCGCGTGCAGCAGCTTGTTCTCCCTCAAAAGTGAGACGTTCATCAGCCTGGCGTTGGGCGTGTTAAAGATGGTGCGATTCTCCCGCCAGCGTGCCCTGCAAATTTCGACGCGCGTTCGCGCCGGATGAAAATGGATCCCGGGGGTTTAATTTTCCGCGAGTGCTCTCTTCTTTGCGCGAGTGCTCTTTCGTCGCGCCGATATTACTCGCAACAGTTCTACTTTGGCGACACGCGTGAGCTTTCACGGTGCGCGTAACTCTTACGGTTCTCGCGGTTGCAGCGCTTCTTTTTTTAGAATTTTACGAGGGGACGCACTCTTTAAAAAAAAAAAAAAAAAAAAAACATTTCCCGGGATTAAAAACTCCCTCGTGCACGGACAAATTCTCTATGTGTTGCGTGCGATTATATAAAACGTGAGACAATACATGTTGTCTCTCGATCTCATGAAATAATTTATACGTGCAATGTATTATTTTACTAGTACACGCGTTGTCAAACACAATTTACAACACGGATATCGAAAATTTGTTCGTACACGCGGGGAATTTGTTTTCTCCAATTTTGTGCGCATGAAACCATGATTGTGATTTTTTCACGTACATATTTGGGGAAAAAAAACCCGAGTGCAAGGGATTTTCCCCGAGAAAATACGATAGCGGCAGGATCCAGACAACAGTCGCGGTCATGCGTTTTTCGCGAAATCGAGGTCGAGCTGCAAATGCAGTCCGCGCGTAAAATCCGGTTTTGATAAATTGTCCGCGCCGCGAAATATAATAATAACACCGCGGAATATTTCCAGAGTAGAGATATTATATACGCGTATCGAACATGATAATAATAATCGCGATATTTTCAAAATTGTGTAACATCAAGCGATATACATTTTCGGTAAATAACAACAAGCGGTATATTGTGACGAAATATTATTTTGTCAATTTTGTTCTCTTTTGCACGACGACAGAACAAGTGAATTTCTCATCTATTTATGCGCGTTTGAATCCGTAATTATTGTATTCGAGTCCGTAATTGTTTATAATTTCCGAATAGTAAAAACAAAATTCGCTGAAATTCAACATGTCACACACACGCGTGTGTTTTTAAAATAAAAACTCGTTGATCTAACGCTAGGAACAACCGTGACGAAAATGACGGAAGATGCAATTTCCGTCTTTGCGAGAAAAAATGTCTTGTTGTTAATTAATTATTTATAAATATTGAAGAAATCAAAAATATAAAACAACGTTAAAACACGATAACACAATTTTTTCAAAACACATCAAATTGACAGACGCGATGAAATCAGATGTACGTTCACCTCTGGTTGTTCCAGCGTTAAATAAAATTAATTTTATTAGACTGATGTTCGCTCACTTGCTGAAGAGCCTGAGAACGACGCAGATGATGATGAACATCAGCGCCATGCCAACGAGAACGCCGATCATCGCCGGATCGATGTACTGGAGGCTGGGTTCCTCTTTCACCTCGGCTAGAAGCAAATTTGTTGGTTTGTGCACGAGAGACCGCGGGGCCGGAAGCTCATAAATTAAATCCCACACGCGGTATCCCAAAGGGGATTAAAAGCCAGCGCAAACAACGTTACCACACACTGGTGTACAAAGAAAACCAAAAAAAGAAAAAAAAATAAAGAAAAAAGCGAGCGTGTAAAATTAAAGAAAGAGGTTGCATTTGGATGAAAGCGGAATTCAGCGATTAACCGGAGCGGAATAATTAGCAAAGAAATGTAATAATCGCGAAAGAACATAAATGCGTGGCACGTTTGCACTTGAAATTAATGAATGGACGGTACACGTCCTCGATCATCTATCGATCAGTTCTATTCTAATGAACGAACAGACGAGCGTAAACAGCATTCTTTCACATTCTTATCCCCCGTTCTGATCTCTTTATGCTTTTCATGCAAGGAAAGATATTCTTGGCATGCAAATCATCGTCGGAATCGAACAAGTGGGAGCTTTTATTAATTCTCGTCGCTTTTCGAGATCACGTTCACGAGAATCGTGTCGAACGCATGAAGGCACGGACAGAATTTTCATTAAAAGCTCAAACCACGTGTGTCTGGTTCCGTTTTCTTGAAAATGTCCCTTACCGACGCAGATTATTACGCCGTCCGGCTGCGTCACCGGTATTTTCTCGAACAGACAGATGCATCGGCCGTCGCGACATTCCGTTTGTATCACCCGCGCCTCGCACTGCTCGTGAAAGAAGCAGGACTCGTTCACGTTCGCCGCTGAAAAAAAACAAAATTATCTCACATCTATCTCTGTTGTTTCGCAAACAATATAAATTTTCAAACACGTGCAAATATATTTTCGATTCTCCTCCGAAATAAATTTTCAGATATGATTTTTGAGAAAAACAAATGTCAATTTTATTTGTTTTTAAAATACAAAAACGTATATAGAAAATATACGGCATGTCCCTGATGTATAAAATATCAGGGCCTGTGTCTGTCTTCTCTTAAGTTAAGTGTCAATCTCGGTTTCTTGTTAATTTGCGCGTACGGTGAAATTAATTCCAATGTGTGTATATGCACACACGTTATTGCGTTCCAACACTTTGTAAATCCTTGATAACAGAGAAATCAGCGTAATCAGGGGGGAGGGGGTGACAACAGTAATCGGGTCAGTTACCGTGTGTGTTCGATCGTGAGAGATTATTCGCACGGTTTGCCACGGGAAGATATCATGGTACGAAATCGCGAGTTGGATACGGCCAGAAGTCGGCCAAGAAGGAAATGGAATTATTCTCGATCGAGATAGCATCGCCGGCCGCTTAGTCAATGAGGGCATTTGCGCGCATGTAAATTAATGGCGTTACAACCGCGCGCGCGTATATGCATGAGAGATCTCTCTCTCTCTCTCTCTCTCTCTCTTCTTCGCATGAAATTGCGATCTCGTTGCGCGAAATCGTTTGTTATGCTGTATATATATTGCGAAACCGGATTCTGGGTTGACTCGCGGAATATTGTGTAAATATTAATACCGACAAACAATGTTTCGCGCAACGCCGTCGGCGCATAAAACTTTCATGAAGGAGAAAAGGCCACTTAGATTTTTCCTCGCGCGGCGCGCGCGATTCCCTCGGGATCGTTGTATTATTACACGCGTACGATCGTAAGAAATATATACGATCTTTGAAACGCCAGACAGAATATCAAACTTACCGTGTCCGCATTTGTCGAGATGGTTCGTAGCCTCGTATTCCTCCTTGCAGTTGCACTTGTTCTTTTTCGGCTCGCAATAGGAGCCCCCGAAGCCGCAATCATTGTCCGTCTCGCAGGGATCGCCGAACTTCTGATCGCCCCTCCCGGATAGATCTGGAAGAGAAAACATTTATTTTTATTTTAGAATCGCGCGTCAACACACCGAAACAACCGGAGAGTTGTGAGATCCAGTGACGCTAAAATCGTCAATTTGATTTCGAAAAACGTTTTATTGTTTTTATTAATTTCGTTGATAATCAACTTGAGTGTAATTTAAACTAAAAAATCCGTCATTTTTGCGAAATTTTGATCGTTCGAGTGTTGAATTTTCGATGAAAAGTCAAACTGGCTTGCTGTCGAAACGACAGAAAATAAATATTTTTATTGCACTTACATTTCAGTGCCGACACAGAGATGTGTGTGTGTGTGTGTGTGTGTGTTTGCATGAAAGAGATGCGATAAATTTGGTAATATGACCGTAGAATGTCGGCGATACTTTGCGAAAAAGCTCTGAATGTCCTCTCTTTTTCGAGAGACGACAGAAAGAGAGACGTCTGATTGCCGCATTGTCGGCGGAATAATGGGCCGCCCACTTTCATCCTTTCGTGTTCAAAGAGACGCGGCCGAAGGATGCTTCTCTCGCTTCTCCGTGGATAATAATGCGCTCCGATTCGAAAAGACATCCACCCTTCTCTTCGCTCTATAATCATCGCGCGCGTCCGTTAAAAGGAAACAATTTATTATACGTTTCGCTGGAAGGCAAAAGCCTCTTCATTCCTCCCCTGAATAAGTCTCTCGGACTATAAATTTTCGCGATTGCTAAATTTGTTTTGCGTTTATCCCCCTCCTTCCCCATAAATGAATGCACAAATTAAACAAAGAGAAAGTAAAACTCGGGGATTGTCGGATCAAAATTGAGGAAACTTCGAAAAACTCGTCGCAACTTTTTAATTATTTTTCCAAGCGGCAGTTTCTGTGAAACAAAAAAAAAGGGTCTCGTTTAATTCTCTTCTGTTCTACAGATATTATCCCTCCCCCATTCCCTTTTACTTGCACGCGTGTTGGAAATTATCAGGAAAATACCTGCCGGGGTTAAACAGTTGCTCGCGGCGACCTGGAAAGACGGGAGAGATCAAGGGTGGCGACTATTTGACGGGCCGAAGTTAAAATGGCGCCAGGCGGGTCAATCTACGCGTCAAAAGTGGGTCAGTTCGCGCTGTGGCATGCTGCCAATGCTCTCACGTGCGAAACCTCCCACGTTTACCACCGTCGTCACCACCTACCCCATCGCGTCATCGACTACCCGTCGCTTTTTTTTTTCTCTCTCTTAAATTACTTTTTGATCCGCGCGTGTTATGTTCTACCCGAAAGCGTGCACACGTGCGTTTTATGTAATAAGTAAGTAGATCGAAAGGCGAAGAACACAGAAAGAACTGAGAAAAGTGTTTAAAAATGGCGGCCCAATTTTTCTTCCGAGCTTGAAGCGTATTCGAAAGGTTTCTCTCGTTAATTATTTTTTCGACGGGTAGGTTCTAACTAGATTTTTCTCTTCTCTCTCTCTCTCTCTCTCTCTCTCTTCCTCTTCTTTTCTGTCGGATGCACCGCTTAGTTTTGTTGCCGCAATCTCGCCCTCTTTATAGCACATTTGTGTAGATACTTTTTTTTCATTACTGCTGTATATAAATAGTTTTTTTTTCGTACGCGGGCTTGGAAAGAGATTAATTATGAGGATAATTAATTAATCCGCAGAACCCCACATAATTAATCTTGCTTCGTGCCGCTCTTACAACACTCATACATTTGACCGCGCACCGAAGTGTTATTTTTTTTCTCTTGAAAAAATAACTAATCAATTTATGTTGCAATTTTAAAAATACGAATAGTTTGTACCGAAATATTTGAAACACGGTGCTGTTTTTTTAACTTAACTAATACAACGCGTTATGAACTGTGATGAAACATTCACAGTCGAGCGCAGATAAGACGGCTGTCACTCTCAGGAAGAACTTCTTCTTTTCGAATAAAGTCACGTCTTTCCCTAAAAAAGAAAATTATGACAAGGCAACAATAAACTCCAAACAAAGTGAAATTTGAATATATCGCGGGTGGATATTATTCCGTCAAGACAAGATATGAAGAAGAGAATAACGTAACGAAAATGGAGGAACAGAGTTATCTTATTAGCGGGAGTTGAAGGTGTCGCATATCTTTTTTATTTGTATATTTTCTTTCATAAAAAAAATAAAAATAAAAACAGATTCTTTCTTCTTCAAAGAATAAAAATTGTTATTTGTCGTCGGTACGTCGACGAATAACAATATTGTTTTTCTCAATTTGATACCAAGTGTTCTGTAGACGGTGTCGGACACGATCAAACGGTAATTCCACTGACGCAACGGTCATTACACGAGCCTTCGTCACGTTACCGTTTGCAACCTGAGAAGGTCAATCGTCACAAGACGCGATTGAAGTAGTCCCGGAATATTGGATTCCGCGACAAGGGATGATGAAACACGTTCCGACGCTACGTGTACGAAATTCTCGTGAGAAACTGCGGAACGCGACGAGTATCGCCACTGCGCTTTGCACCTTCGTCGAGTTTTCCTGGAAGAAAATACGCGCAAAATTTGCAACACATTGCAGGAAGGCAATTAATATAACATTTCTCTCTCCGCTTCGCGTGATACATATGCGCTTTGTTTCGCGCGCGGCAACGAGAAGGAGGTTTTCGCGCACACTCGCAAACGGCGGAAAATATTTTTTTTCCGACGAGATTCGAAGATAGGGAGTGTGTCGAGTTTTTTATCTCGACGGACGACTCTCTCGTTACGATGAATCGGCACGCGAGCAGATATCGCATTGCTTTCGTTAGAATATCGATTTGTTTTCACGATAAACCATCAGGTTTGATTTCTACGTCTCTCGTGTAGGATTTCTTTTTTTTCTTTTTTTTCATCATCAAGACAGATTACGCTACGTTACACTTTATTCCGTACACACGGCGTCGTCTCCGGATGTTAGTTGTTAGTTTTAACGACGTGAAGTAACGTCGCTCTTTACTCGTCGCGTTAAGAGGTCACCGCGAAGTTTTTATTTTTCCGCGAACAATTTTCTAACTCCGTCGCAAGTCGCGTTTGTGCATCAACGTAATAAAAAATAAAAATTTTACAGGTATAATATATATGTGTAGATAATTTTTCTTTTTTCCTATTGCTCTCTATTTTCTCACTCTTTTGAGACTTTTCAGAGCAAACAAAACCGAGGTGAAAGTTTGGCGAAGTTTTTTCTCAACGCGCATTTTGCCAACCGGTTTCGCCCGCGAGTTACGATTCTCTGGAGATCGGAAGTTCCGCATAGACCGTTCGCGGTCGCTTGTATTTACGCGCGTTTCGTCTGATATACACGTATTAAGTCTACCGGCAAATAACCTACTAAAACGTCTCCCCAAAGACGGATTCTGTCGTCTTTGCAACGAGTTTCCGACCCCTTGCGCACAAAACATTCTTGACATCGTTTTACATATAATATCTCTCAATATTCACTCTCCCTTAGGGAACAAGAATATCACCCGCGAATAATTAAAACGAAGTAATTCTCTGATGAGAAAAGTTCAAATAATTATTTAACGCTTTACGAGTAAACTAAGATAATATTTCATATATATTTTATTAAAAATAATATATATACATTGTTATAAAAAATTAATTACATTCAATTATATGTTCGACTCGTATATTTCTCACATTGAGAACCTATTAAATATTACATGCAGAACATATGGAAATGCGGCGCATGCCGGTATGAGAGAAGGTGCAGTTATCCGAGAAAACGCCGGTCAATATTTAATACACGAACAGTGGCGCGATAGGAGCGTTTGTGTGTGGCCATAAAGAGAAAAGAGAGATCGATCGCGCGCGAATGAAAATAACGGGTGCTTGATTTAGCGACGTTGGTTTCTTAATCGCGCGAGTCGCGTAGGGTAGTCAAAGTAATATAATATCGCGTCCCTTCCGCGAGCGCGCGAAAACGTGATTTTTTTCAACGGACAAATTTCGCGTATCGCGCGTTTTATCCGTGTCGTCGCATCGGAATCGACACATTTTTTTCTCCCTTCCTCCTCCCCCTCCCTCCGCCCTTCCGGAAAGGCCGCATAATAACGTTAATTGCAAAGAGTGTGCAAGAGCGGGGCTCTGTGAACTTGCGTGCGCGCGCGTTAATATCGCGACATCGTCATCGCGTCACGACACGCAACTCTCTTCGGACTTTATAGATTACAACGTTTCTTTGCGCCACGTGAAAAGGTTTTGTAATAACGCGAAAATCTGAAATCTGCAAGAGGGAAACAGATTTTTTTCGCGTTCACCCAATTTTTTTTCCGAGTGCACAATTATTCGCATGTAAATAAACAGCGGTGTTCGCGAAACTGCAAAAACGTTGCGACTGACAACGTATATACTCGCGCGAGTTTTCTCTCTGTGTCGCACAGATTTGCGCTCCGAATTTAATTTTTTTTTTTAAGAGAAGCTGAGCAACGACACGGTCTCATGGATAAATTCATGCAATTCCCGTCCTTTCTTCCTTTTTTCATCTCTGGGCGGTTGATTGCGAGGCGAATTTTGAGAGAGTTGAGTGAAAAATGGGAGGAAAAAAAAAAAATTTCCCTCCGTTTCTCCCGGGATAGGGTATCGGTGGAATTGGGACACTCGGTTAATTGCTGGACGCGCATCGCGTACGTTTATTAATTGGACCGTTTTGCGAGTCATTTCAAAACTTCTGCCCTCGATAACGGTGTACATCACAATTTCCCTTCCAGGCTGATTACGGGCTTAAAGACGAGATAAAGCATGATGAGCTCGTGCGGAGGGTTTTAACGAGCTGGCACTTGGTCTCAGAAGGCATCTCGGATATCTTAATCCCCGCGTGGAGGGACACGCTTCTACCGTCGTCGATGGTAAAACCAGAAGCGTGTTTATCTTGTTATCGAAGATAGAACGCAAACAAATTGAATTCGCCTTAATTGCTCTGCAATTCTCTCAACTACAAGACAGTTGCATTTGAGTAAATTACACTCTGTGTTTGCTCTCACTCGCCATATTTTTCGAATCAATTTGAAA